ACAGTAGCCCACGACATCCTACCCACAAACTTGACCGTTACGGTATAAGAGGCCATGCGCTTGCTTATTTCAAATCTTACCTTACTAATAGGTGTCAGTATGTCACCATTAAAGACACAGCATCAACAACACGGCCACTTGATACTGGGTTTCCGCAGGGAAGTGTCCTTGGTCCCCTGCTCTTCCTCATATACATCAATGATCTTCCAAACGTATCCCAACACCTGAAACCCATTCTCTTTGCTGACGACACGACTTATGTCATCTCTCACCCAAAACTTGCCACCCTCAACACCATTGTTAACGAGTACTGATCAAAAATCGACTTGGATGACAGCCAATAAACTACGCTTAACACTGACAAAAACTACTATTATGTTTGGTAGCAGAGCAGGAGATGCCAAAATTAACATTAAGATCAAACAACACTCTAATTACCAGACATAATGAGGGCAAATTCCTAGGCCTATACCTTGACAACAACCTGAATTCAGCACCCATACCAACACATAAACCAAAAAAGTATCCAAAAGGGTTTTGGATCCTCTCCAAGATACGATACTACGTGCCGCAAAATGCCCTTCTCACACTATACCACTCCTTATTTATCCATACCTCACCTATGCTATTTGTGCTTGGGGATCAACTGCAGCAACACACCTAAAGCCAATAATAACCCAACAAAAAGCTGCAGTAAAAATAATCACTAATCCCATCCCTGGCAACACCCCCCCCCCCTCTTCATAGATCTAAACTTACTTCCTGTTCAGTACACCCACACTTACTACTGTGCAATCTACATCTAAGGACCTTAAACCCCAAATTATCAACCTTGCCTAAAACGCTTTCTTGATAGTTGTGACAGAACCCACGGGCATAACACACCGACACAAACATCTCTACGACATTCCCGTGTCCGACTAAACCTTTACAAAAATTCAATGTATGTCAAAGGCCCTAAAATCGGAACACCCTACCTGAGAACTCTAAAAACTGCAGACACATTCAAACACCTTCAAAACTACCATTAGAAAATATCTTATCTCCCTGATACACCCCCTCAACTAACTACAACGAATACCACCTGGTGGTTCACACTTACACTCACTCACCCAATTGACCATAAACAGAATATTAAATCTCAATCTTAAAATAATGAATCCTATGATACTCCAATACTGAAACTATGTACTGTGCCAAAACAAAAGCATTCACATTGCTAAACTCACAAACTAGTATTTAGTCACTTAGCCATAATACCAACTTACCTCATAATTTGTAATATTTTAAAATAAAGAATTAAACTAAGTCTGCCCGAAATGCCTAGCCATGCTAGGCGTTCTAGTGGTACACTCTGTAATCATTATTTAACTACATGTAAACCACACAACAACCAAATTCTGTAAATTCAACATTGTAATCTTTATAGAGAATAAACTTTGAATTGAATTGAATTGAATATGGGCTCATTGGTTACGGCAGCTCTCAAGATTTTTGTTTATCTTTTATGTCTATTCTATATAGGTATACTAGGCTTACAGAATACAGAAGACTCGAGAGCTTCAGTTGCTGTTATTCTAGGTTCTTCCTGTATACATGTGCCTGCAACTGAACTTTTCTATGTTTTTGATGTTCCTGTTCTGCAGTATTTTTTAACCTCCTTTTTGAACGTTTGTATCATTGCTTTTGATGTTCTCCCTGCACAGGATATACTGGCGAATCCAAAAAATCAGGTGCTTGAAAAGGGAAAAATGTAAACAAAATCAGTGTTTTTCTTGTGCAGCACTTTAAACAGTTCATGACCTTCCATACTCCAACCAAGCAGTAAAACTTTCCTGATTATATCCCAGTCTTGACCTACTTCTCGCGAGGTGATTATCAACGTTATTTATGTGATGCCAAAAACAATTTTTGGGGATCTAGCTGCATTTACGCTAGTGGTCGCTTTATTTCATTGTTGTTGGGTGTGAGAGACGATCCTATTGCAGCTTTGCATAGGTGATATCAAACTCACCTGTGGTCAGCTCACAGAAGGGTGCCACGCCCACTCTTATCTCATGAAAGAGTGCCCCGTCCACTCTTTGAAAATTATCATTTCACGTTGAGTGACCAGCATCATTTGATAGAATTCCCAGTTACCAGAGGGCATACCTCTGACGTTTATTTGTTGCAACAATTGTGAGCACATCATTCTTTTGCTGTATTGCTATTTTTTTAATTGTCCTCTTTTTCTTACGCCCGCTTCTCTTTTTAAAAGTTCAGATTTTTTTTTTTCACGGATAAACGTGAAAACCGTTGTTATCAAGCCAATTTTCTTTTAAATTTCAGCTCAGGTGTATATATCTTTGTCGAAACTGACGAAAATTTATAGCAAAAGATGTGGCTGTAAGTTTTTTTTTTTTAATAATCTTATGCATGAAAGAACGTATGTACTACAGTTTGCAGCCTACAACACATTCAAAGCGACTGTAAACTTTTCTTCAATGCAAGATTTAGTCTGGCTGACATGTGTTGAACGTAGAAATGGCCATCACGTTTTATTTGAGCTAAGTAAGATTATGAAAAGTTTGTCAAGTCCTGTTTAAAAACAAGAAATACAATATATTGATTTTTTTCTAATACCTGGAGGGGGGTTTCGGGTCAACGCCCTCGCTGCCCAGTGCGTGACCAGGCCTCGTGGTGGATCACGGCCTGATCAACCAGGCTGTTACTGCTAGCCGCACGCAAACCGACATAAGAACCACAGCCCAGCTGGTCAGGTACTGACTTTTAGGTGCCTGTCCAGCTCCTTGAAGACAGCCAGGGGTCTATTGGTAATTCCCCTTATGTATGCTGGGAGGCAGGCGAACGCTAAGACAACACTGTGTTGTCTCTCAGCGTACTCGTGGCGCCCCTGCTGTTCAGTGGGGGGATGTTGCATCTCCTGCCGAGACTTTTGCTTTCGTAGGGAGTGATTTTCATGTGCAGATTTGGGATTAGTCCCTCTAGGAATTTTCAAGTGTATATTATCATGTATCTTTCTCGTCTGCATTCCAGGGAGTACAAATCAAGGGACTTCAACCATTCCCAGTAATTTAGATGCTATATTGTACTTATATGTGCCGTGAAGGTTTTCTGTATATTCTCAAGGTCTGTAGTTTTGTCTGCCTCGAAAGGGGCCGTTTGTGTACAGCAATATTCTAGACCAGAGGGAACAAGCGATTTCAGGAGAATCATCATGGGCTTGGCGTCTCTAGTTTTGAAGGTTCTCATTATCCATCCTATAATTTTCCTAGCAGATGTGGTTGATACATTGTTGTGATCTTTTAAAGTGAGATTCTCTGACATTATCATTCCCAGGTCCTTCACATTAGTTTTTTGCTCTGTTGTGTGATTGAAATTTGAAGATTGAGACACTTATGCAGCATATGAGAATCTTTATTCAGGAAACTTTTCGCCACACAGTGGCTTCATCAGTCCAATACTGATGAAGCCACTGTGTGGCGAAACGTTTCCTGAATAAAGATTCCCATATGCTGCATAAGTGTCTCAATCTTCAACTTGTCGGTTTTTCAAACCATTCATCACATGATTAAAATTTGTTTTATACTCCGGTTCAGTTTTATTTCCTCGAGTTTTCTTCATTAAACTTTATATGTTTTCTGTGGCCCATTTAAAGATTTGGTTGATGTCTGCTTAAAGGTTTGCGGTGTCTTCGATGGATGACACTGTCATGCAAATTCGGGTAGCATCAGCAAAGGAGGACAAGGTGCTGTGGCTTACATCTGTTGAGAAATGGTATTACCAGCTAAGTTTAAAGAGTTTGTACTTAACTTAGAAAGACAGCTCATCGCCTGCACAGCCGCCCCTGCAGACGAGGTCTTGAGAAGCTGTCAAAGTCATCTCTCAACGGGCTGTAAATGAGTTATAATTTGTAAGATTATAAATTACCCCTAGGGGGTGTTATGTCAGCATATTTCATTCACTGATTGCTGACAAACTTACTTGTGTGGACTCAAAAGTCCGCCCCTTACTGCCGACTATAGGTTGATTACAAACTCCTTGCGACTCAAGAACTGCGCAGTCCCCCGTACTACAAGAAATTCGTAACCTACCTTGCTCTTGTAGCGTGAGCTATGGTGTTCTTCACACCTTTGACAGATATCGGTGACTTGATAGAAGCAGAAGTGTCCTTGGATGTCCACGTCTTCCATAGTCTAGGAATACGCACACTGGCACACTATGTTCCACAAGATTTGTCTTTATTGTTCACAATCTTATCACTAAAGAAGCTGATCACACTTCTCTTAAGTGTTTATTGTGTTTTATGAGACACTTTGTTCACACTAACGCACAGATCGTTCTTTGTTGGTTATCCTGGCGTCAGTGTCACTCTCAGTAGAGTCAAAAGTAATCTGAAGACGCCACAGCACCCCACGCCGTTACACCCCTATCACAAAGGAAAAGCTGACCTAGTACTTTTGCTTCCTTGCCACTTCCTCGATGAAGCAAAGCAGAATGTTTAAATCTTGCTGTCTTAAGAATAGACAACAATGTCCACTATCTTTACTATGGTAATAAAGTGGGAGCAGGATTTTCCTTAATTGTCCTGCTAAGGTAAGAGATGAACTGTCTTTTATTGAGCTACACTTTGCAACACAGGACCGCACGGAGCGTCGAGCCACGTCACATACTGGTACTGCATCTGGGGTCAATTACTCGCTGTAGCAGTAAACAAGATATTTGCCCCTTCTGAGAGGGCTGGGTCCCTCAGGGCTGAAAGGGGCTGAAGGGGGCTGATACCCCCCTCCTGGAGAAAATTTCTCCACAACATCTATGTTTTGTCAGGTATGAGGACGAGGAAAATGATGGCTGCGGGTACTGTACCTTATTAGAAGATAAGATAAGATTTCGTTCGGATTTTTAACTCCGGAGGGTTAGCCATCCAGGATAACCTAAGAAAGTCGCTGCGTCATCGAGGACTGTCTTAACTTATTTCCATTGGGGTCCTCAATCTTGTCCCCCAGGATGCGACCCACACCAGTCGACTAACACCAGGTACCTATTTGGTGCTAGGTAAACAGGAAACGCGTCGAAATGTTTCTACCCCGCCGGGAATCGAACCCGGGCCCTCCGTGTGTGAAGCGAGAGCTTTGCCAGCCAGGTCACGGGGTCACCAAGCTTTTCACAGTAGCCGCCTCTGTTTGCTGTTACTCTTTGTGTTTTAGTTGTTAGGAAGTTGTAGATCCATCTACCCATCTCTCCCTGCTCCGTGTTGTTTAAGATATATTCCCAGCTTGTTTCATTTAGGCCATGGTTGATTTGATCCCACTGTCTGTTTTTATTATTGAAGTTGAATTTGGTGAAGGCATCCTCATAACTGATCTGATTTTGCTGGTCAGGAGCCTTGCGCATACGGAATATACACAACAGACATGTCTGTACTTCTATTGTGTTGTGATCTGGGTGTGTCTTTGATAATGTTATATTTCGTACCAGGTCATCATTATTAGTGAAGATGAGGTTAAGTGTATTTTCCAGTCTTGTTGGCGTCACATTTCAAAATTGACTCAGCTGAAACTTGCATAGTTAAGATATTTTCAACTAAAATATTATCTAGAAAAAATTTCCTAACTGATTATTATTATTATATTCATGAGTAAGCGAAATTCATGGCAGTTATACAGCGCCTGGGGAATTCGAGGTAATCAGCTTTGATCCAGGGAAGGGAAGGGTAGCCTCAGTGCCTTGGATCAAAGATGATTACCTCTCGTTCCCCAGGCGTTGTATGACTGCTATGAATTTCGCTTACTCGTGAATATAATAATAATAATAATAATAATAATAATAATAATAATAATAATAATAATAATAATAATAATAATAATAATAATAATAATAATAATAATAATAATAATAACTCAGAAGCCTTCAACAGCATTATGCATCTACCGAAGGATTCCGATTGCTGTGTCCTCTGATAATACGTCCCTGACGACATCTTAAATGTGTCAAACAGCTGCTGGGTGCTGGGGTGTGATTGGCTCTAGTGGAAAGCCTTTGTGACAATATTATACTTGAGTTTCATATTATAACTCAAAGATAAATAAAGCTGTTAACATTCCACAATGTATACTTTAACAACATGGGGAAAGATCAGCAAGTTATATAACAGATTGCAGAAGTCCACAATACGACGAACTTCATTATGTAAGTACTCAACAAGCTCCAGTACAGAGTACAGAGCATCATAGTTTGAGAATCCTGGTGGGCTGGGCTTTGAAAAGAGCCAAGGTACGATAAGAACTCTTAGCCTGTGAAAATGACTTGTCTAAAAAAAAATCCTGCACGATGTAAAACTCCTCGGCGACAGTGACCCCAGCACTTGCAGGGTGGTACACCACACCACCATAACATTCCCAGCGCTACGTAACGTAGGGCCTTGTGGGTGCGTGAGGTGGGACTCTCCCAGGGTATTTTTGGCGACGGTGTGAGTGAGGGGCACCGTCTCTACATTCAGTGCCAAGGCGACTCTGCGCAGTGCCAGCCTGGACTTACCTGTGATGGGAGCCACATTCTCACCCCTACCCCAAGCGTCCTACTCAGGTGTTTATCCTGCCGTACCCAGCCACTGGGACCAGGTGAGTGTGGTACTGACCTCCGCAGGTATGATAAGTGACTCTTGTTGTACCAGGTAGTCTGCAAGTGCCATCTGCAGGTGTTGCTGCAACTACATGTTCTCAACCCATTAACACAATAATGCTGTGAATGATCCTAGACCTTCCTAGCGTCAACAACCAGGATCAGTCTGAGGTACCGCCAGAGAAGGTGACTTTAGCGTTTCCATATTAGGAGCGCTGGGAAGATGGGGCGAGGAGGGTGTTGTTGGGTGGTGTCGCCACGGCCACAACCACCCTCCGCCCTCTCAAACTTTTCATTATTTTTAACGCAACAATTGCAGGGAGTCAAGAGGTGGAATGTACACAAGCTATATACATTATACACATACAGAGTATATCACTTTGTTATTTATAATACGATACCAGAAATATTGAAGTTGTATTCCCATGTTGCATCAACTAGATAAGCCAACTTTGAGATTATGCTTTTTATAAAAGGACTTTATTGAGTAACATGGAAATACATCACTTATCAGCTGCGGTTGGATGGCTTATTGTATTTTTTAAACTTATAGAAAGGATTAAAATGTGTTCTGATAGAGACCCATTAATTAAATACCAACGCTATCTCTATTATTTTCGTGCTATCACTGCTAGGATGAACTAGCGGGATAAGCCAGGACGGTACATTGGACCTGCGCTTGTTGGTATCGGCATTCAAATGAAAAAAAGCCCCTGGGGATCGACGACCCAAATGATTTCTTCATGAATGAGCCTCAAAACTCCATAAATGTATGCCAGATTTCCGACATTACCCTAACTCTGATAGATTTTGAAAAAGCCATTGACAACATGCCCATGCACTCAGCCCGGGCCCAGACTCGTGGAACTCTGTTTTCATTAAGAACTGCAAGAAACCCCTCTCGCGTGCCCTAAGTACACTATGGAGGAGGAGCTTGGACATGGGTGAAATTCCACAGTTTACCTGGAGTTTACCTAGAGAGAGTTCCGGGGGTCAACGCCCCCGCGGCCCGGTCTGTGACCAGGCCTCCTGGTGGATCAGAGCCTGATCAACCAGGCTGTTACTGCTGGCTGCACGCAAACCAACGTACGAGCCACAGCCCGGCTGGTCAGGTACCAACTTTAGGTGCTTGTCCAGTGCCAGCTTGAAGACTGCCAGGGGTCTGTTGGTAATCCCCCTTATGTATGCTGGGAGGCAGTTGAACAGTCTCGGTCCCCTGACACTTATTGTATGGTCTCTTAACGTGCTAGTGACACCCCTGCTTTTCATTGGGGGATGTTGCATCGTCTGCCAAGTCTTTTGCTTTCGTAGTGAGTGATTTTCGTGTGCAAGTTCGGTACTAGTCCCTCTAGGATTTTCCAGGTGTATATAATCATGTATCTCTCCCGCCTGCGTTCCAGGGAATACAGGTTTAGGAACCTCAAGCGCTCCCACTCCATAAAGGTGGCAGCAAAGCATTAGCCAAGAACTGTAGACCAATAGCTCTGACGTCCCACATCATAAAAATCTTTGAAAGAGTGCTAAGAAGCAGGATTGCAAATCACCTGGACTCCCAAAATCTGCACAATCCAGGGCAACATGGGTTCAGGGCAGGTCGCTCCTGCCTCTCACAACTACTGGATCACTATGATATGGCCTTGGATGCACTGGAAGAAAATCAGAATGCAGATGTAATATACACAGACTTTGCAAAAGCATTTGACAAATGCGATCATGGCGTAATAGTCCACAAAATACGTGCTAAAGGAATAACTGGGAAAGTGGGGAGATGGATCTTCAACTTCCTAACAAATCGAACACAAAGAGTAGTGGTCAACAGAGTTAAATCGGAGGCTGCCATAGTGAAGAGCTCTGTTCCACAAGGCACAGTACTCGCCCCCATCTTATTCCTCATCCTCATAACAGACATAGACAGAGATATACATGACAGCACCGTATCATCCTTTTCGGATGATACTAGGATCTGCATGAGGCTGTCATCTGCTGAGGACGCGGTTAACCTCCAAGAAGATATAAACAAAGTTTTCCAGTGGGCAACGGTAAACAATATGATGTTCAATGAGGACAAATTCCAACTACTCCGTTATGGAAAACTGGAGGAGATAATAACTAGAACAGAGTATACTACAGACTCTGGCCATACAATAGAGTGGAAAAATAACGTAAGGGACCTGGGAGTAGTAATGTCTGAGGATCTCATTTTCAAGGATCACAACAGTGCCACGTTCGCACGTGCAAAGAAAATGATAGGATGGATAATGAGAACGTTCAAAACGAGAGATGCCAAGCCAATGATGATCCTTTTCAAATCACTTGTTCTCTCTAGGCTGGAATACTGCTGTACATTAACATCTCCATTCAAAGCAGGTGAAATCGCAGATCTAGAGAGATTACAGAGATCCTTTACTGCACGTATAAGTTCTGTCAAGCACCTTAACTACTGGGAACGCTTGGAAGCACTTGACTTGTACTCTTTGGAACGCAGGAGGGAGAGATATATCATAATCTACACTTGGAAAATCCTGGAAGGAATGGTCCCAAATCTGCACACAGAAATCACTCCCTACGAAAGTAAAAGACTGGGCAGGCGATGCAAAATGCCCCCAATAAAAAGTAGGGGCGCCATTGGTACACTAAGGGAAAACACCATAAGTGTCCGGGGCCCAAGACTGTTCAACAGCCTCCCATCAAGCATTAGGGGAATTACCAATAAACCCCTGGCTGCCTTGAAGAGAGAGCTGGACAGATACCTAAAGTCAGTGCCGGATCAGCCGGGTTGTGGCTCGTACGTTGGACTGCGTGCGGCCAGCAGTAACAGCCTAGTTGATCAGGCCCTGATCCATCGGGAGGCCTGGTCATGGACCGGGCCGCGGGGGCGTTGATCCCCGGAATAACCTCCAGGTAACCAGGTGGGGAATGGGAGGCAACCAGGTTCCATCTAAGGAAGAGGAGGACAAGCCCAATTCCATTGATCAAGAGCCTCTCACCAGCACCAAGAAACGTCCCCTGTAAAGGGGACGTTTCTGCTGACTTTCACCTGATAGTTCATTCAACAAATTGATAGTTCGCTCAGCAAATTGTCCAGAACCTCTAAAACCTATATGCCTAAAAGCTATAGGCCTATCTCTCCTAAGAGACAGGTAGTTAGCCTTTTCGAGAAACTATAAAAACTTGACGACAATGCATAATTCTCACTGCTTTTGAATAAAATAGCTACTATTGTTTCTGAATTAAGAAAATACTAATATATAATTATATCAGGTTGAGGGAATGTCTAAGACACTTATATTATTTTTTCATATTTTTTTTAATTTAATTTTGCGAATTTTTAATAAAGGCGCTTGACAAAATTCTATTCCCGAAAGACTCATTCTGTTTTGAATAAAAAAATAATAAAATAATATTGAAAACTAGTTTACCTGGAGTTTACCTGGAGAGAGTTTGGGGGTCAACGCCCCCGCGGCCCGGTCTGTGACCAGGCCTCCTGATGGATCAGAGCCTGATCCACCAGGCTGTTACTGCTGGCTGCACGTAAACCAACGTACAAGCCACAGCCCAGCTGGTCAGGTACCGATTTTAGGTGCTTGTCCAGTGCCAGCTTGAAGATTGCCAAGGGTCTATTGGTAATCCCCCTTATGTATGCTGGGAGGCAGTTGAACAGTCTCGGGCCCCTGACACTTATTGTACTGTCTCTTAACGTGCTAGTGACACCCCTGCTTTTCATTGGGGGGATGTTGCATCGTCTGCCAAGTCTTTTGCTTTCGTTGTGAGTGATTTTTGTGTGTAAGTTCGGTACTAGTCCCTCTAGGATTTTCCAGGTGTACATAATCATGTATCTCTCCCGCCTGCGTTCCAGGGAATACAGGTTCAGGAACTTCAAGCGCTCCCAGTAATTGAGGTGTTTTATATCCGTTATGCGTGCCGTGAAGGTTCTCTATACATTTTCTAGGTCAGCAATTTCACCTGCATTGAAAGGTGCTGTTAGTGTGCAGCAATATTCCAGCCTAGATAGAACAAGTGACAAGAGTGTCATCCCTAGTTTTGAAGGTTCTCATTATCCATCCTGTCATTTTTCTAGCAGCTGCGATTGATACAATGTTATGGTCCTTGAAGGTGAGATCCTCCGACATGATCACTCCCAGGTCTTTGACGTTGGTTTTTCGCTCTATTTTGTGGCCGGAATTTGTTTTGTACTCTGATGAAGTTTTAATTTCCTCGTGTTTACCATATCGGAGTAATTGAAATTTCTCATCGTTGAACTTCATATTGTTTTCTGCAGCCCATTGAAAGATTTGGTTGATGTCCGCCTGGAGCCTTGCAGTGTCTGCAATGGAAGACACTGTCATGCAGATTCGGGTGTCATCTGCAAAGGAAGACACGGTGCTGTGACTGACATATTGTCTATGTCAGTTGTGAGGATGAGAAACAAGATGGGAGCGAGTACTGTGTCTTGTGGAACAGAGCTTTTCACCGTAGCTGCCTCGGACTTTACTCTGTTGACTACTACTCTTTGTGTTCTGTTTGTGAGGAAATTATAGATCCATCTACCAACTTTTTCTGTTATTCCTTTAGCACGCATTTTGTGCGCTATTACGCCATGGTCACACTTGTCGAAGACTTTTGCAAAGTCTGTATATATTACATCTGCATTCTTCTTGTCCTCTAGTGCAACTAGGACCTTGTCGTAGTGATCCAATAGTTGAGACAGACAGGAGCGACCTGCTCTAAACCCATGTTGCCCTGGGTTGTGTAATTGATGGGTTTCTAGATGGGTGGCGATCTTGCTTCTTAGTGACAATGAATTTTGTATAAAAACTAAAACATTGAAAACCGTGATAAGTTGCGTATTTTTTTACCCAAGCTAATTATTTTCACTACCAGTTCTAGTTCAGTTAGAATAATAGCCTTTACATTACATACATACATACGCTAAACACTTCGCAAACTATCGAATTAATTACAAACATTATCTCTCAGTCCAGCAGGATTCAAACCTGCA